GCCCCCCCCCCTCCCATAGTCTCTATCTCCACTTTATTTTGTGAATCAACTAGCTATCGTTAAAAATGACAATTTAAGAGAGTAGATATGGGGTGGGGAGGGGAGGGGAACGTTCTGTCCCCCCCCCTCCTCTTTCCCTTCTCAAATAGTGTAAATCTAATATCCTCTTTCTTTTTTCATAATTGTAAAGATTATGATAGTAAGAAACTAAATGGAGATAATCTAAAAAATGTATTAACATAATACTATAAAACATTTGATATACGTATATACTAAAATGGTTTATCGTTCTAAATATTTGATTTCTTTTTCTTTTTTATACATAACACGTTTTCTTATTCCAAAAAATTCAGAGGTTACTTTCTTTAAATTCAATTCCATCATTCCTCCATCTTTTCCTTTCTAACAAATCAAAAAATGAAAGGTAGTACAAGTATTTGGTGTAATCAATTGATAAATTAACAATTAAAATGACAAAATATTACTAACCATGATGATAAATTAATATGAAAAGTAACAATGCTTTGGAGTACTGAAAAGGGAGAGAATTTTTATCATATCCTAACACACTCTTTTTCTGTTTACATTATTCTTCTTTCTCTTTTTTATACTCTTCTCTTTCTCTTCCTATCTTTGATCTATCCTACCTTCCTATCATCTTTCTCTCCTTAACATTTCATTTTCCTTTCAACCATACTTATCACTTTCTCCCCTTAAAACTTCTTTATCCTGATTACTTCAAACCCTTCAATCCTTATTTTTCCATCTATGAATATAGAGAAAATTCTTTCTTTTTCTTTCTAAAAACATCTCCTTCCATTCTCATTCTCATCCTCTTTCTTGTGCTCATGAGGTATTAAAGAGGGGGGGGGGAAGAAAAGGATATTTCGACGTAATGAAATGGGATATGATAAGAATTTTTTCTATCTTTAAACAAAATATATGCTGACAAATATGAGGTAATGAAAATAGAACATAGTAATATGATATACACTGAATAAAATCTAAAGTACTCTAATATCAAAATTATTTCACACTTAAATGTTAGTAGACAAAGGTGTTTTGTCTTGTCTTTGATTTTAGAGTCTCAAAGTTTTGAATAAGTGTCTAGAACAACCAAGCTTATACTTGCTTAATTCACTTCTAAAAGATTTGTATGTCTTAAAAACATTCCAATTTGTTTTATTCACTTTTCTGAGGGACAGAGGAATGTCCGATCATAGTACTGATTGTCTACTCTTATGTTTATCTTCTTCCAGTTGTAAATTTTTCTACTAGATGTCACTAACATCAAATTTATTTCACACTTAAATGTTAGTAGACAAAGGTGTTTTGTCTTGTCTTTGATTTTAGAGTCTCACCAAGCTTATATTTGCTTGATTAACTTCTAAAAGAGGTGTGTGTCTTATAAACATTCCAATTTGGTTTGTTTTTCTGAGGGACAGAAGAATGTCCTATCATAGTACTGATTGTCCACTTTTGAAGTCTATCTTCCTTAAGTTGTAAATATTTCTACTAGATGTCACTATCATCAAAATTATTTCACACTTAAATGTTAGTAGACAAAGGTGTTTTGTCTTGTCTTTGATTTTAGAGTCTCAAAGTTTTCATTTACTAGTGTCTAAAACGACCAAGCTTATATTTTCTTGATTCACTTATAAAAAGGTGTGTGTCTTAGTCATATTCCAATTTGGGTTGTTCACTTTTCTGAGGGACAGAAGAATGTCGTATCATAGTACTGATTGTCTACTCTTGAAGTCTATCTTCTTCCAGTTGTAAATTTTTCTACTAGATGTCACTAACATCAAAATTATTTCACACTTAAATGTTAGTAGACAAAGGTGTTTTGTCTTGTCTTTGATTTTAGAGTCTTAAAGTTTTGAGTTACAATTATCTAAAAGGACCAAGGTTATATTTGCTTGATTCACTTGTTCGTCTTAGAAGCATTCCAATTTGGTTTGTTCACTTTTCTGAGGGACAGAAGAATGTCCTATTATAGTACTGATTGTCTACTCTTGAAGTCTATCGTCTTCCGGTTGTAAATTTTTCTACTAGATGTCACTAACATCAAAATTATTTCACATTTTAATGTTAGTAGACAAAGGCGTTTTGTCTTGTTTTTGAGTTTAGAGTCTCAAAGTTTTGATTTACAAGTAGCTAAAACGACCAAGCTTATATTTGCTTGATTCACTTCTAAAAGAGGTGTGTGTCTTAGATCATTCATTCCAATTTGGTTTGTTCACTTTTCTGAGGGATAGAAGAATGTCCTATCATAGTACTGATTGTCTACTTTTGAAGTCTATCTTCTTGTAGTTGTAAATTTTTCTACTAGATAGATTCACTAACATCAAAATTATTTCACACTTAAATGTTAGTTGACAAAGGTTTTTTTGTCTTGTCTTTGATTTTAGAGTCTCAAAGTTTTGCTTTACAAGTGTCCAAACCGACCAAGTTGAAATTTGCTTGATTCACTTCTAAAAGAGGTGTGTGTCTTAGAAACATTCCAATTTGGTTTGTTCATTTTTCTGAGGGAAAGAACAATGTCCGATCATAGTACTGATTGTCTGCTTTTGAAGTCTATCTTCTTTCGGTTGTAAATTTTTCTACTAGATGTCACTAACATCAAACTTATTTCACACTTAAATGTTGGTAGACAAAGGTGTTTTGTCTTGTCTTTGATTTTAGAGTTTCAAAGTTTTGATTTACAAGTTTCTAAAACGACCAAGCTTATATTTGCTTGATTTACTTCTAAAAGAGGTGTGTGTCTTAGAAACATTCCAATTTGGTTTGTTCATTTTTCTAAGGGACAGAAGAATGTCCTATCATAGTACTGATTGTCTACTTTTGAAGTCTCTCTTCTTTCAGTTGTAAATTTCTCTACTAGATGTTACTAACATCAAAATTATTTCAGACTTAAATGTTAGTAGACAAAGATGTTTTGTCTTGTCTTTGATTTTAGAGTCTCAAAGTTTTGCTTTACAAGTGTCTAAATTGCCCAATCTTATAATTGCTTGATTCACTTCTAAAATATGTGTGAGTCTTAGAAACATTCTAATCTAGCTTGTTCACTTTTCTTAAGGACATAAGAATGTTCTATCATAGTACTGATTGTTTACTTATGAAGTTTATCTTCTTCCAGTTGTAAATCTTTCTACAAGATGTCACTAACATAAAAATTATTTCAAACTTAAATGTTAGTAGACAAAGGTGTTTTGTCTTGTCTTTGATTTTAGAGTCTCAAAGTTTTGCTTTACAAGTGTCCAAACCGACCACGTTCAAATTTGCTTGATTCACTTCTAAAAGAGGTGTGTGTCTGAGAAACATTCCTATTTGGTTTGTTCATTTTTCTGAGGGACAGAAGAGTGTCCTATCATAGTACTGATTGTCTACTTTTGAAGTCTATCTTCTTCCAGTTGTAAATTTTTCTACTAGATGTCACTAACATCAAAATTATTTCACACTTAAATGTTAGTAGACAAAGGTGTTTTGTCTTGTCTTTGATTTCAGAGTCTCAAAGTTTTGATTTACAAGTGTCTAAAACGACCAAGCTTATATTTGCTTGATTCACTTCTAAAAGAGGTGTGTGTCTTAGAAACATTCCAATTTGGTTTGTTCACTTTTCTGAGGGATAAAAGAATGTCCTATCATAGAACTGATTGTCAACTTTTGAAGTCTATCTTCTTCCAGTTGTAAATTTTTCCACTAGATGTCACTAACATCAAAATTATTTCACACTTAAATGTTAGTAGACAAAGGTATTTTGTCTTGTCTTTGATTTTAGAGTCTCAAAGTTTTGCTTTACAAGTTTTTAAATTGACCAAGCTTATAATTGCTTGATTCACTCTTAAACAGGTGTGTGTCTTAGAAACATTCCAATTTAGTTTGTTCTCTTTTCTGAGTGACAGAAGAATGTCCTATCATAGTACTCATTGTCTACTTATGAAGTTTATCTTCTTCCAGTTGTAAATCTTTCTACTAGATGTCACTAACATCAAGATTATTACACACTTAAATGTTAGTAGACAAAGGAGTTTTGTCTTGTCTGTGAGTTTAGAGTCTCAAAGCTTTGATTTACAAGTGTCTAAAATGACCAAGCTTATTTGCTTGATTTCCTTCACTCTAGGCTGAAATATGGGCATATATACCTTCTTCCTGAGTCTTCAGACATACAGCCTAAACACCTTATTTACCAAACTAAATCAAAACTTAGACCTATTTCCTAGGGTTTTAAAATTTATATTTAACTTTAGAAAGTCTATACAATACAAGGAAGAAGATTGCACTATTTCTGCAAAGAAAAATTGCGTAGAATTTTGCACAGACGCCATAAAAGGGAATTTGCACAAAATTCGTTTTTTTTTAACAAAAATTAAAAAAATTTGCAAATATTTTTGATTATTTGAATTTGCAGGATCAAGGGCTTTTCAAAAACGTATAATTTATCATTGTTGGCGCCCTTTTTGTTTTCGCACATGTTTAGCTAAAAATCTTGATTTTGCAATTAATTTAAAATTTGGCAAACTTTCAATTTTTTGCATATTATTAACGTGGAGCCCAAGGGCTTTCTAAAACGTAAGCATATGTTATAGATTTGTATCACAATAAGTCTATTTTAGGTAAACCAGACTTCAGTCGTAAATATTAATCTACCAGAGTTACCTTTGGCTTTAATTCAATTTTCCTGGATTAAATTACCTGGGACAAATATTTATTGAAAATCAAGTTGTGCAAGCTTTAGCACAAATGCCCGAAAATATAAAATATAAATTCTGTCCCTCAAAAAAGTTTAAAACTCTGAAATAAATATTATGTCTTTGATCAATTTGCATTTCTGTGATTCTGTTTTTCAGTAATTTTTGTAAAGATTTTGTTGATAATTATTGAGAGAGAAACAATTTTCATTTCGCATTTTAACAATCAAGAAATTTATTTAGAACTGTTTAGGGGAAAAATTAGATTTTATTTCTTTCCTTTAATCTTTCAATTATGAGTGGAGGGGAGGTGTCAATAAGTTTTATTGTAAGCTAAGTTGTTATCTATATATAAATTTGGCTTGTCTGTCTGTCTGTCTGTCTGTCTGGCAATTTATATATATAGATAAATACATATTATATATATGTACAGGGTTACCCACAGAATGATACTGTAAAGACGACCTGAAACTTTTAAAATATGGCGATCTCAAGGTTAAATTAAGACTTTTGCTTTGAATNTATATATATATATAGTATGTATATTATCATGTTGGATAACAGTATATTAAGGCGGGGTGTCAAAATATCTATTGTCTTCAAAACAGGGGGCAATAGCTTCTCAAAAAGTAAAATTTTCTTTTATTTAGAAAAAAATCTTAATGAATTAAACGCCCCACCTTAAATAGTAAAACAATATGTTTTCTTTGTCACCCCCCATCCCCCCCCCACCAACCATTGTTTAGGGGTTGAGTATAAATAAATTAGGTTTTGCAAAAACGGAGTAATTAGTCATTTTGTCCACTTTGTCGGGCCCCAAATCCGTCATTTAGGGGCCTTCAGGGGCTCTCATTTTTCATGAAAAGGGACCAGTCCCTCATTTCTAAACTTTCTTTTGGATAAACATTTTTAAGAAATAATTATTATTTCTATTATTAATTATTATTGTTAATATGAAAAGTTGTGTATATATTGAACTTAAGAATATTTTTAAAATGCAATGTCTTATTTATCAAACTAGGCCGTTTCCAATGTCAAAGTCGCCTTTTTTCTGGGAAATCGCAAATCTAAATTAATCTTGAGGGTTTTTTTTCTGTTTACATATCTTTGATAAATAATTGTACTGCACTCTCTGGGAGAAATATAAACATACTCAGAACTGCTTCGACGTGTTAAGAAAAATAAGATNTTTTCTGATTATATATTTTAGTAGAATCAAGGGGGGGGGGTTCTGTATATTCTGTTTTTCTGATTATATATTTTAGTAGAATCAGAAAACTAAAAATCACTAAACCTCAACGGTATAAATCTTTCTGCCAAGTCGATCCAAATTAAATAATACAATTAAACGTCCCCTAGCTACGGCTAAAGTTTTTATTTAATTTTTAAACATGTGTAAATGAATCTTTATTTTAATACGTAATTAATTAATTAATTAATTAGTTTATCGATAAAAAAAACTAAATATTTACCTCAAACTCTAATTAACTATTATAATATAAATTAATGTTTAACAGAATCCATAGTTTGAAATACGACATCTGGTTGCAAAGTTTGAAATACGACATCTGGTTGCAAAGTTTGAAATACGACATCTGGTTGCAAAGTTTGAAATACGACATCTGGTTGCATAGTTTGAGGAGAGTAAGTGGAGTTTCTTAATTTGGTTTGTTCTATAATTCCCAATTTTAAGATTTGTGCATGAATGTGTGTAAAATAACTAAAAAATATATTTTAATATTTTTAAAGATTATACCCCTCATTCTCTTCTTCTAACAATATTCAAGTAAAATCTTAAAAGAGATATTTTTCAGAGTATATAAAATATATAGAATATATAAACTTAAATACAAATCCAACTTCAAATAGAATATTTATAATACATAGGCGTAGCAAAGATATTTGACCCCCCCCCCCTCCTTCAAAAAAATTCTAGACACCCTGTATATTCTTAGACAGTGGACACCCGTATACACATAGACAATTGGACACCCTGTATATTCTTAGAAAGTTGGACACCCTGTATATTCTTAGACAATTGGACACCCTGTATATTCTTAGACAATTGGACACCCTGTATATTCTTAGAAAGTTGGACACCCTGTATATTCTTATTGGACACCCTGTATATTCTTAGACAATTGGACACCCTGTATATTCTTAGACAGTGGATACCCTGTATATTCTTAGACAGTTGGACACCCTGTATATTCTTAGACAGAGGAGTGGACACTCTGTATATTCTTTGACAGTGGACACCCTGTATATTTTTGGACAGTGGACACCCTGTATATTCTTAGACAGTGGACACCCTGTATATTATTGGACAGTGAACACCCTGTATATTCTTAGACAGTGGACACCCTGTATATTATTGGACAGTGGACACCCTGTATATTCTTAGACAGTGGACACCCTGTATATTATTATGACAGTGGACACCCTGTATATTCTTAGACAGTGGACACCCTGTATATTATTGGACAGTGGACACCCTGTATATTATTAGACAGTGGACACCTTGTATATTATTGGACAGTGGACACCCTGTATATTATTGGACAGTGGACACTCTCTATATTCTTAGACAGTGGACACCCTGTATATTATTAGACAGTGGACACCCTGTATATAATTAGGTAGACATGTCAACTCTAAATGATAATAATAATAAAAAATTAGATATTTTGCTACAGTGAGAACCAGAAAACTATGGTACAGAAAGACAACATCACAGTGTATTTGATGTAGTTACAAGTCAAACAAAATTAATTAGTAACTTATTTAATTACTTATCTAGTTACATGGGTCTGCTTCAGTCTAAACTGTCGTCTTCCTATGCCAAAGTTTTCTGGTTATCATGCTGCACATGAATATCATAAAACAAAAGATTAAGTTTAAATTCAATTTTCTTAGCATTTGAGACCGAAATGGCAGTTCATGGTATGTCACTACCAAAGTTAAAATTGAATTTTTTGTTTTTGAAAGGAATTGCGCAATAACTAATTGCATTTATTGCGTGCCATAAGGTTTAAATTTAATTTTATCAAAAAAAAAATTAAACACAAACGCAAGAAAGTTGTACAGAATTGCGCGCTATACCGCGCAATTCCGTTGCGTTTATTACGCGCAATTATTACGGAATTGCGCGCAATTAAATTCACTTCCGCGAAAGGACTCGCCATTGCGCACAAGTAAAATCCACTTGCTTTGGAAACCCTATTTTCCCCGTAAGTTTAACATAATATATAATCTCCTGTTATTTTTGGTTTCTTTTTTGGCTCATTTTTTCCTTTATTTTCATCGACTTTTTGTCCTTTGCATTTCATTTTATTTTTTATTGTTAGCTTCTATATCTATTTTATTTCCATTTGACTGTCTACGTATATTCAAGTGACCCTCCATTTCAAGGGAGTGTTCGTAAAAAATGAAAGCGGGCATAGGCTTACGGCGAAAAATAAGCTCTTTTTATTGCTACTAATCTTAGTTCTATCTGTTGCGTCTTTAAGGAAAAATTGTTAAAAACTACTTAAACTAAAGAACGTAGCGTCCATACAAATTCAGAAACATGCAACATTTAACTTTCAATTAAATTCAAAACACATCATTCATATATTACAACCAATAATCATCGATAATTTAAGACGCATTCGTATAAAGTTGATATTTCATAATATTTTTATTTTTATGATCTGATAGATACTTTTAAAAACATTTATTGCTGTTTAGAGGATTTTTGATAATGAAGACGATATTTTCAAACATTATTAAAATTTAAAAAAAAAATAAAAATATTATGAAATATTAACTATATACGAATTCGTCGAAAAATAATCGATGACTATTGTTAGCAATATCTGAATTATTTGTTTGAAATTAAATTGATTATTTTACGATCCGAGTTGAATTTGTATGGACGCTACGTTATCAGCATGAGTCGTTTTTAACAAATTTCTCCTTAGATAGAAGTAAGATTAGTAGCGATCAAAAGTGTTTATTTTTCGCCGTAAGCCTGTACCCCCCTTTAATTTTTTGTGAACACTCCCCTTCAATTTTTGCAGATGGTTTTAGCGAAACAAAGCATATCTTTATAATAAAACAAGACATTCCTATATATATAATGCCTATAGCCGGCTAAACGGCTGGACTGATTGAGCTAAATTTGTTGTGGACACTCATGGGTGTTATAGGCTAAAAATAATTCGAATTTTTTTTTCAAGGGCAATGCCGGGGCCCTTCAGCTAGTAGTCTATATTATAAAACAAGACATTCGTATATATGTTGCGTATTGCCGGCCAAACGGCTGGACAGAATGGACTGAAATTTTTTGTGGACACATGGGTGGCCGGGGGTGTTATAGATTTGTTTTCAACATATTAAAAACAAAATTCCACGGGCAACGCTGGGCCCTTCAGCTAGTATATTATGAGATTGTAACTAAAAAAGCTTAGAAAATTTAATAGTCTCTTGGATCAAAATCCGTTCGCGATGAGTTTATAAGGTGTCTCTGCAGGTTCTCCTCCATTAATTTTTGTATTTTAAATTTTAAATTTCATAGAAGATAATTCATTTTCTCGTACAAAAAGTGAATTTGATCGTTATATTTCTATTTTTTTTTACTCGCCTTCGTTTCACAACATTTCTTTCGCAGCATTCCTTTGCAGCATCCCATTGGAGCATCCAATTGGCAAATATGATTGAACCCCCCTCCTCCCCCCGCCA